CATCGTCGAATATCAAATCATTTTACTGATAAAAATTGAGCCTCTTTATATTTAATAATAAATGCCATTATTTACTAAGCAATTTCAAATGTCAATATGATATATCTTTTTTTTTTCTCAACAATATATTTAATCTTAAGAGATCTAGATAAAAAAAATAAAGAATGTTTGTTTTTATGTCCAACGACAGGAGTCAAATGCGTGATATTTATTCAGGTTGTTTTCCTTCACTTTCAAGCTTTAATATGTGGTTGTTCAGATCTATTGAAAGTTCTTGAAGTAATTCAATAGCAATCGTATAATATAGGCGAGCAAGTCCCTTTTCATTACACATAGCAGCCTTTTCAATGTAATTTTTGATCTGAATAATTTGTTTGATATAATTATCCATGCCTGGAAAATAAAAGATAGATGAAGAAAATCTCAGTTTCTGACAACTACTTCTTGTCTTACCTTAGTCTTTGAGAAAGAAAAAATTGAATAAGTATCAAATTGAAACAATATGATAGTAGGAATAGCAAGCTTTGATTCAAAATTGCCCGACTTTTTATAGTCATCAGGTAATGTGGCTTTTTCGGATCGGACAGTTTTTATACTGTTAACTGTCATACCTTGAAACCTACGTTACGTCTACGTCTTCTTTTCTTCAATGTTTCTATCATGCTTTCAATGAGGAATGTTTGATGACAGGTGTAACAGAGTAGTATATAAAAAAATCTTTTTTCTCTTCCTTTCTTTGTCGATAATGTCAATAGTATATGTCGGATGCATTCATTCACGAAGCATGTTTCTTTTGATAAATGAAGAAAGTGAGAGATATTAGTCACCCTTTCTTCACATACAAATTAAGATAGTTGAATAATCACGTATAGGATCTCTTGCATTGCGTATCTTATATGGACGTGTACTAAACGCCAAAAGGTTTAGACTGAGCTTGAATTTGATGCATATACCTAGTACTATATAATTCAATCTCTGACAAAACAATTAAGATTATCGCTTTTTCTTTAGTAGTCGAACGATAGTATTGTGCGAGTAACCAACTGAAAGTTCGCTTGGAATAATTTATATCAATCAGCTAATATGAATGATAAATAAAAAGTCGGACTTCATCGATTCCATATTTTTTATGATTTTATGATTTCTTTTCAGTCGTTCATGGAAACAAGAAAATTCTATTTTTTCTACCATTAGCTAAGCGAGATTTGCTGTTTACTTAAAATTCACATTTCACTTCCAACTATTCAACATCAGATCAACTGAATTAATTTATGGATTTCATAAACATTCATGTTTATTATTACTCGTTATAATAGTTATTTCATATAAACCACGATGTACCACCACAGAAGAATGTCTAATCAGATTCTTGGATTTGCATGAAATCTGTTCCATATTGTAAAGCATCCTGTTGTTAGGCATAGAATTACATTGTTAGCCTCATCGGAAATTCTCATAATGAGATCTTAGAATCACTCAAACTTGCTTTCTCAAATACTAAGAACTTAGAGATTGCTTGAAGGTGGAAGTGATACTTTAGAATCTCTGATTGAGCAGAACCCCTCACGATGTACGTGAAATGGCTTATAAAATGAATGTTTATTTTAAATTTATAGTACAATAGACCATAAATTATTCAGTAGATTTTTGCACGATTTGCAAACGGTGTACACCATATTCTACAAGTTGATAATTTTAAATTAGGTCATGATTCTTTATGATCATTCATTTTCACTAGTACAATTGCATTCATTATTCATTGAAATGATTTATTGATCTAAAAATTAAAAATAGAAAAATAATTTTCATTTTTATCCTATCTAATGAAATTTTAATTAGTGATATATTCTAGATGATTTAAATATCAAATGAATTTAAAATTTTTATCATATGTTGTTGCATAGCAATCGATTTCCTCACATTAGAACTATGAAAATAAAGCATTAAGTTAAATATTCAGAAAAGAAAATAATTATTGTTTTCCTTAGAAAATTATCATCAACCTTTCTATTATTATTTTTTTTCTATCATTGAACGAGCATGAAAATTATTATTTTTTAGACGTAAATTTAACCTTTCGATGAAATTATTTTCAATTTTACTAAAATAAATATACATCAATGTATTCTAACTTCGAGATATACATTTTTTTCATCTTGATTTTGACAAAATTTAGAAGAAAATCGATGTCGATTAGAAAAAAAAATGCTCAATGCTAAAAGTATTTTTAATCCAATGATCTTGATTGACAAGAAACTTTCTCTTATAGAAACAGAAATATATATCAAGGGCGGTATGATAATAGTTTATCATTTCACTGACAACTCAAAACCTTTTTATTGATCATTGAGGAACAAATAAATGACGAAGAATATAAATTAATGAAAAATATCGAAATAATTATTATGAATAAAAATAAATGAGTAAACCAATTAAATTACAATGATTATTCTTTTTTTTTTGGTTATAATCACAAGTTTCGATGCATCTCTTCTAACTAATAGGTAAATTAATTTGACTAAACTATTGTCTATTTCAAATAAGAAAGCTTCTTGTATATTACTCAATTAAGTTTTCATAAGAGCAATAATCAAGACTTTTGTTTTTTACAATCAAATAAATCGAAGAAAATGTTCTTGATATCTATTACATTGAAAGATTCATAATAACATAAAATGAACCTTTTTTTTTCTAAATTAAGATATCAGTCCATGAGTTAGTTACCAATTTTTACTGTGGATGTGAGTGAAATGCAAATGTGTGTCAGCGTCTAAGTAAGTGTTCATCTTTCCATCCACACCCACACTTACACTCAACACCTTCAGATGAATTGGGTCTTTTTTTGTGATTCACCTTGAACTGTCATAAAATTCTATCGATATGCAGAGTAGAATTCCTACTGTACTTGATAAGTCCTATAAGCAAGGACGAAGCCAGTAGTGTGTAGCCCAGAATTCAATCAACGTCTCCACTCACACTCACCATCAAATAGTCTTGTGGAAAAAAAACAAAAGGGAAAATATAATTGAGATGCACTGTAGTTGTTTTTTTCTAATTGCCCCGTGAACGATCTCTCAAACATTTCAATCAAAAAATGTCTTTTGTTTGTTCCTCCCGTATTTTTCACGTGTGAGAGAAAGATCTAACTCAAAAGAAGGCAATGATGGTTTCGATGAGGCTACTAAAATAGAGACCATTGTGTAAGCGATACATGTGACAGATTTGAAAACTATTGTTCGTTTCAAAATATGCGCTCTACTGTTTTTTGAATAACTCAAGAACGTAAACAGCTTGTGATCTGCGGTTTTCACCAATTGAAAGAGGAGACAGGGGACGTCTTTTTTCCAAATATTGTATACGATGAAACCATTTTAAAACCAGTCATTTCTGAAAAATACCGAAAAAAATTTAAAAACCGGCTGTCATTCAAAACGAAATTTTGACAAAAAGTAAGACAATACGCTTAAAATATGAAAGAAAAATCTATAGTTTTCGGGCAAGTAAATCGATGATATTATTTGTTCAACATTAGAATATGAAAAGATAGTCATACGAAGTATATGTTGAACTATAGATCTAAAGTTCTTCTACCTAGATCACATGTCAAGACCAAAATTTCATCAGAATGACAGATCATTTTCATGCATTTTTTGTAATGTTCTGCATAAATGACTGATTTTATTTAGAGCATTTGAAAAGTAGTGGCAATGACACTTTAATATTGTATAGTAAGCTTGACTCTATTTTTCTGTGCTATTTAATCATTCTTCAACTAATATCATAATAATAAAATTTTGATAAGAACTGTTTTTGTATAAAACTTCACTAACGAGTGAAACAGATTCAATGTTTCAATCACTTAATACGTTGGATTAAAAAACAAAATATACCACAAGATGCAGCGTGAAAAGCTCTACAATCTTCAAAGTAGCCATTTTTTGTGTACTCAAAAAGTGAGTACACTCTAGAATTGGTCAGTGTGTCCGTCCGGCCGTTTACACGATAATTTTTGAAAGGAGAGTCCGATCACGATGAAATTTTCTACACAGCTTAGTCTCAACAATATCTCGGTCGAGTTCGAAGATGAGAATGATTGGCCGAGCCATTGCTGAGTTTTTCCCTATGCGAAGATCGATCTATCTCCGCTTTCGTAAAAAACTTTTCCTATCATAGTCAAATAAAACCCCAACTATTATATACCATTCGATAGAGAATTTTACGAACTACAAAATGGCATATAAAACATAAGGAAACAAGAAAGCCAACTCAGCTATTGCAAAGATAATTAAACGGAGTTCGGTTCTGTTTTTGTCCACGCTCTAATTAATCCACAAATAGAGCTCTATCTTCCGATCACTGAGATGATACTTCGAGGTTTTCTGGGGTAGAGAACTCGAATCTATGCTCCATTCACCTCGAAATCCCATTGGTTGTACAGTAACCAATAGAAATCAAGTTATAGGAAAAACGACTGTCTTAGGATAAATCAAGGTGAAGAGTTCAAATCTGAGCTGTATTCACCCACAAATCCTATTGGTTGAGCAGTAGCCAATAGAAATCAAGTGTTTATAGATAAGGTTTGCCAGGATAATTTTTATATCCCCACATTCTAAAACGACTCATCTGTCTCATTCACTTTTTGAAGTACACATAACTCTCGGATTTAAATTCGAGGTTTCCACATTTATTTCTTATTTCGTATATGAAATAAACTATTCTTTATAAATTCTAGAGCTTTTCACGCTGTATCTTATGCTTGTATATTTTGTTTTTTAATACAACATATTAAGTGACTGAAATATTTAATCTGTCTCAACCGCTAGTGAAGTTTTACATAAAAATCATTTATAATAATTTTTTACAAGAAAATTTTCGAAACAAATTGATTTCATTTATTTTTTATTAGAATATCATCAAAAAATGATGATATTATTTCAAAATATAGGATATAAAATGTTTTTTTTTCATTTGCTCGAATGATATAATACAAAATAAAAAGTTTATTTTTCTTCATCTCGTCGTTTTGAACTATCACGCATAGGTATTGATTCAGCATCTTTAAGTGAACTTAAACGTTGCCATTCACGATAAGCATGATAACTACGACTTCGTGGATCGATAGCAAACGACGGATCAGAATATTTTGCAATACTAGAACAAAACAAAAAGACAAAGAACAATTATTTTTAATAATAAATTCAATTTTCATACCGCCATTGAATTGCATGAATTAAAATACCAAATCCAATAAGAAATGAAATAATAGAAAACGGAGCAAAATAAGTATTAACCATTCCCATTGTTGGTGATTGATTATGTGAATAATAATTTGCACGTTTTCGATCTTCTTCCATTTTTCGACGAAGCATATCAAAAAATGTTTTATCATAATGTGGTGTTCCCCTTTAAAACAACAATAAATTAAATATCTTTTTTCTATTTTTAGTTTTATTAAATAATAAGAACGCACCTGCTTACCAGTCTGATTCATTTGTATTCCATTTTTGTTGATAGGCACTTCGATTATGGATGTTTGTATATGTCCAATCAAATGGAGAACCATGTGCTTGTTGTGGACGAGGTGGAGATGAATATCGTTGTGAATAAGGCTGATACCGAGAAGTAGATGAAGAACTAAGAGCTATAATTAAGAAAATACTGAAAAAAATCTTGTTTTTTTTTCTATTTTCTTACTTTGATCATAGGTAGTACGTGTTGATTGTTTACTAAGGATACTGAAAGCTTCATTAATTTTTACAAATTTTTCATGAAGAGATTTATCAGCTGCATTAGAATCGGGATGATACTATAATAAAAAAAAAATAACAGGATTCATATCAAATAAAGAATATTCACTACCTATTCTCAAGAGTATCTGTAAAAACTGTAGACACTCATGATTACTTTGATATTTAATTGTAAAATATATTGTATAAATAAAGATCAAAGTAATCATAGAGGTCCGTATGATATCCATTTCGAACTCTATCTTTTTTTTTGAGGATATAACGATATGTGCAGTTTTTGCAGGTATCCTCTTGTCAAATAAGAATTTTTAGGTATCTATAGGGTGTGCCAAAAGTCATCGGACAGTCTTTAATTGCAAATCATTTTTGATAGAAACCTGCGGCTTTCACCATTCAAAAGCGGCTCTGTTACTACGTAGTTCCATGCACTATTCAACAGTACTGCTTGTTGCCATAGTAATCAGTCAGTGGTCTTCAGTAAAATACTGGTAGCTCTATGAATCACGCTCGTCAATGTCGCTATCTAAAACTCTCTATCAGAAGAAGATAATAGGTTCGGTTGTTGGGCTTACATGAAACGAAGTCGGTTCATTGAATTGAACTTGTATATCCTTTTCATAGAGTTATCAAAATCTTGCTAAAGATCACTAACTGATCAATTAAGTCAACAATCTGTATTGTTGAATAATACATAACAAACCCTGTTTTAAATAATGAAAACCACAGCATTTTATCTTGATCCTATCAACAGTTATTCGAAATAATAGATTACCCGATGACTTTTAGCTCATCCTGTATTGAAGCAATGTTTACAAAAATTAATATTAAATTTAGATTGTCTTCATCTTTGTATAAAATTTTTCTAATGATTATATCTATTCTTAAGTTTCAAACTAACCCTTATTACAAAAGTCTTTAGACAAAATATTCACACATTTTTTAATCACTTAAAAGCAATTAGAACGAGTCAAAATCCGTTAGAAATACTCAGAATTTTGTGCTCTTTCTGGATATGGACTTGAAAATTTTGTATCTGGTTCTGTTCGGGAATAGTAAGAGAATGTTTGAAAGGTCCCAAAAAATTAGTTTGTACAAAATAGATGAACCGAAGTTTTCGAACATAATGTTTGTTTATTTTTCATCTGTTTGAACGTATTTCAGACATGTACTCAGAAATTAGACATCTGTTTCTATTTGGAATGAATGAAGAAATCTTTGAACGACTCAAAAACTGGTTTTAGATGATAAACGAACAGATTTTTACTAATCCCAATGGATTCTTTTTCAATGATGCTAAAATCTGTCGAAGTCAGTAGTTTTTTTAGCGGCAAAACATTTCTTTTCAAAATATGATATCACATTAAGCTAAAGCTTGAAGTATTTTCAAGAGCTATTTTTCTACGTAAAACCCGCTAATCGATTCTTCTAAAATGAGAGTTATAGAAAAAAAAAAAACTTTTCAGTACCTCATTAGAAGAGAACGAGAAAGTGAAATATTATGTTGTATGAGGTCAATTTTACTCTACAAGCTGATATATAAACAAAAATTTCAACGTTTAGTTTCGGATCCCAAGAGTGAAAATGCACGACAAATTTCCTGTACAAACGAGTTTTTTTGGGATCTTTCAAATCTATATACAGAAAGAGCACAAATTCTGAGTCTTACTAACCACTTTTAAGTAATTGAAAAATAAGCGAATATTTTGTCTAAAGACTTTTGCAATAGAGGTTAAACACCAGTCGAAATTGATTCAAGATCAGAGTTTTCTAACGATATTTGTATAACTTCAATCGATTATTCTATTTTTACCTCGAAGTTTTAAATTTTTCTAATGAACAAACATATACAACTGTCGGATGTAGTTCGATTTCATCTAAAGACTACAAGTAAGCTTTGGTAAGATTAACAAAAACCTGAAAGGATTCAAGTCTACATCCTACTGATGTAAAATTATAATCATTTTAATAAATTTTTTACTATAAACAAAGCATTATTGAAAATTTAAGAGCAAATAGTTTTAACGTAAAATTTTGTCAGTTTCAATGAGAAACGAACATATGTTTCTCGAGATTAGAGAAGAAAAATTACCAGGGTATCCAAAAATTTTTTTTTTTTGTTAAATTTCCTCAATCTTGAAAATCTTTGATGAAACTTACTTATAATCGAAATAGTCGATAGTATATCACATCATTATAATAATACTAACCTCTTTCGATAACTTAAGAAATGCTTTACGTATTTCTTTTTGTGTAGCTGTTCGTTCTATACCCAATAAATCATAATAATTTCGAGCATTAATATCTGGTTGTTTATATCGATATTTTGTTAATACAAATGATCTTTATACAAAAAAAACAACAACAATAGATTTTTATTCAAATGAAAAAAAAATAGTAACAAGATTACCGATGAGGTTGAAAAGTAGATATGATGATATTGCTATATGGATGCAATCGATCACCATGATGACTACTTTTCATTAACAAATATTGTTGAGAATTTCTGAACATGCATGTAAAGAAAACAAATGAAAATATTCTATAATAATAAACTAATATTTAATTATTATCAGTTGATATCTTATCCAATAAAATTCAAAAATAAAAAAAAATATTTTTATCAAGATTTTGTTTTTTATTTTCTTTTCTTGTTTCAAAAAAGAAAAAAAAAAACTTAAAATTCATTACATAATAAATTCATTGTCGCTACTATCAATGGGAAAATCTATTCAAATTAAAAAAAAAAAACAAAAAAAAATTTTTTTCTTCAAATAAAATGACTAATAGATTGTATGAATATGAATCGAAAACTATATGAATGAATATTCTTATCATTAGAATTGAAATGATTAATATCAAAAAAAAGTTTCTAGGAAAATTTTCTATATAAAAGAAAATAATATTTTTATTTCTAAATTGTATAAAACAGAAAGAGTAAAAAAAAAAAAAAAAGAGAAACCGTTCAATAGGGTTAGACAATCGAACATTTATTAATGTTCGTTATCGACGAGAAGAAATAAGAGATAGCCGATCGGTCGGTCCCTCAAGCTCTCGCACATTTTCTCTCACTTTCCTCTTCCGTTATTCACGCCGCGGCGTCGTACGTTGTTCGTTCTCCTAACATTACACATTTATTTTGCCTTTTTTTCTTGGTTTCTTTTTTTTTGCAAGCTATGACGTTGTTGTTGTTGTGAGATAGAAAAATGCTGTTGTTACTATGTAGGCGTATTTATAAAAATCTTTTCTTTTTTTCCTACTCGATGATCTATTCATTCATCAAATGATATAAATATATATACATATGTATGCATTCGGTCAACTACTCTTACTGGTCGTTTTGTTTTTTTTTTCTATTTGATTATATAAAGAACAAGATAATTTTTTTTTTTTTTTCGTTACATAAATTTTAGATCATCGTTATTCAAAATGAATTATTTGGATTTTAACGATGGTTCAGATGAAATAGATCATTCATTAACAAATACACAAACAACAACAACAACTACAACAATTGTTAATCAACAAACTAAAGATTTATCTGATTGGAGAAATATTCAATTAGGTACAGCATCAACATTATTTGATCGAATATGGATGCCAGCAACAATGAATTCTTGGACAACATCTAATACACCAATTTATCCATCTTCTTATAATCAACAGACAACATCTACATATCCATGGACAAATTCAACTAATAATCAATCATGGCCAATAACAACATATTCAACAAATACAACAACAACACTTCCTTTTATTAATTTTGATTCTCCACAACAAAATTTTATTCCTTCAGATACAACAAATGATGTTATAGATTTAACTACAAATAATACAGTGAATTCATCAACACCGATTAGGTTTGTATTAAATTTTTAAATTGAATACATATATAAATAAATTAACATCAAAATTTTAATAAAAATGATTGTTATATTAATCATCTTGAGCAACAGATAAGAAATCTAATGGGAAAATGTGAATCATTAGTAGAATGAAAAAAACTATAAGTAATAATGTAAACAAAGATAACTTATTCATAAGAAATTTTCAAATTATTTCAAGTATATATAAATAATATTATTCGTCAGTGATGTAATTTTGCAAGATAGAAATGTAAATTTTATATTAGCCAATTTTTTTTTTTAGATTCGAACTCTGTATATTATTTCTATTAAATGAATTGATTCATAATTTCTATATCTAATGCATATTTATACACTTATTGAAATAGATAGTAACAAAACAAAAAAAAAAAAAACTTTCAGTACAATCCCTACGGAATTAAATAGAACTACTTTAAATATTATGAGAATTCTTAGCGTATATATGACAAGATCAAAAAATTAGCATGCCGAAAAAACTCATTAGACCGTGACCGACCTATCGACAGTTCTGTCAATAGGTTAAAATAATATCAACATATTTGTTATTGTCTTCGAAACAAACTGGAGAAGATGATATCAAATTTTCTTACCATACATACTTTAAGAATCATTTTTCATAAACCTTACAAATAATTTCTCTAGTGATTCAAAGGTGGATATGGTCCAATCGAGAGGTTAATCTGATTGTTATTAGATAAGAAAAAGGTCGATGTGACTGACATTGGTAAGAAAAAAAATATCCTAGCAGTTGCAACGGTACATTCCAACGAGGTATTAAAAACTCGAAAATAATACGAGTCTCTAGGAGTTTAGTTATAGTCGTTTTAGGTTAAAATATTATCATTCGATTCTTTTGTACATACTGTGCTATAGGATAAAACTCCACGACTATAACTCAATAGCGAAGGCATAGAGAACGTTTTCAAAAAATAGAGTTTATTCGTTGTTAGTAACGTAATTGAATACATGTATAATATATTCACTTGTTTGACTGAATTCTAAAAAATGCCTACTGATACTATTCTTTCCTACAAGAATATAATAATAATAATTATTATTTTGTCTATTATAGAGGTTTTATTCCTGTTCAACCACATCCATTTTCTTATCTAACACCTCCTGTTCATCAATATCGAAATCCACTAATACCACCACCTTCAGTGTCTCAATCTACAACTACTGCTCCTCAACAACCAGAAGATGAAACTGATCTTATTCTTGTACCTGAAATTGATATTGAAGAAATTCTTGGACATGTTGAAGCTGTTATACCTGATATTGATCTTGATGCAGCACGTCGTACAATAACAGCAATGAATCCAATACCTTCAACTAATGAGATAGTAACAAATTTTCTTGATAATGGTTATATAAAAAAATTAAAAAAATCATCTGATCATGAACGAAATCTCTCATTAAAACGTTCATGGTTAGAAACAATTGATGATATACCAAAATTTTTATCAATTTATTCTGATCCAATAACATATTTTTTTGATATACAACGTAAACAATCTGATTTATATATTAATCATGCTAAAGCATTTATTGTACGTGCTTTTCCAACAACAGATAAAAGTATTTTAGAACAAATATTACAAGAAGAAAATTATCATTTTTTATCAACTGTAAGAAAATTAGAAAGACGTTTAAATATTCGTACAAATGCATTCTTACAACGGACTGCAATTAGAAAATCATTAGATATGCTTGGTATGTTATATCTGAATGTCGAATTATATTTTGTTTAAATATCTTAATAAATCGATATTAAAGTATAATTCTTTCGAAACAATTTGATTGTTAGATATAAGAGATAGTCAAAGTTAATCTATGGAAATTAGCATTCAGTTCATTATGGATCGCAATTCTTGAGATCTTTGAAACATAGTCATGAAAAGAATAGAGCTTTTTTTTCGTAAATTAATTACAAAAAAATTTATTCAGTACGAGTTATAAATTTATTGTTAATATTTGATAATCCTGTTTTTTTTTTTTTTTTGATATTTTTATTAGATACTTCTATTGGTGGTGTTGGTCGAAAACCATCTGGATCATGGTTAATTAAAAATAATAAATTTATTTATGCAATTCCACATACACCATGTGAAGAATTCTATGATGAACTTCGTTTTGCTAAAAATGAAGTTAAAATTCGACGTAAGTTTTTCATTTTCAAATAAGACAAAAAAAAAATAATAATAATAATGATAATCAAATTTTTAGGTTATCTCGGTAAAGTTTCTAAAGACCATGAAAAACGTGTAAAAAAAGCTAAAAGAGAAAATGAAACACTTGAATGTAATATATGTTGTCGTGAAGATTTATTAATTGATGATATGGTTGAATGCACAGTAGGACATCTTTATTGTCGGTATGTTTAATTAGATTTTAAATAGATTCACTTTTCATATATTTATTTATTTATTTAGTAATTGTGTTCGAACACATATTGATGTATGTTTTAAAGAAGGCAAATGTCGTTTTGCTTGTGTAGAAAATTTATGTCCAGGCGAATATACAATAAGACTTGTTAGTGAACTTTTATCACCAAAAGATCTAAATCGTTTAAATAGACGAATACAAGAAGAAAATATTCGACAAGGTAAAAAAAAAAAGAAAATTTTATTTATACAGAAGTTATCTTGTTGATTTATTTAATGAATATATATCCAACGATCGAATGCCATTCAACTTCATTTCATAGTTACAAAATAGGTCTTGAGATGAAGGTTAAAAGGATTCGGATACATGAACAACTAATAAAGGGTTATAGCTCTTTCTAAATATTCTATTTCGAAGTAGATTGAAGTGAACAGTAATCGAATCTACTTTGAAATAGAATATGTCGAGTAAGACATGTTCGATTTTGTTGAAACTTTTAGTACTATCAAATAACTTGTAAATATATAGAAAATATAAAGTGAATATCTTTTACTTTGATTTTATCGAAATTGTCTCATTCGTAGGTACGAGCCATTTTAGAACATAATGTGTTTCACTACTTGTTGAGTAAATTTTGATAGAAATATCATTGAGACCAACGATTTTCATTATTCAAGAAAGAAGATTCAGAATCATTGAAGTATTGGTTAGCAATTCATTCAATTAGGTGATGTGTGTTATTGAAGATTTTCAAAAGCGATACTTTGAAGCTATTTTCCTTTCAATTTAAACTTTTAATGGAGTTAATCGATAAAAAAATTCTTCTCTTTCGATCTACACAAGATCGACATTCCTAACTTTTTCCATTCGAGAATTACAAGGCTTCTTGAGAGACTCCCGTTTTCAGCCAATTGAGATGTGATCATCCAGAACAACAGCGCTAGGTAAGAGTAATTCATCAGATAAATTATCTATGTCTAGCTGCTGTTCTTGATGGTTCTTTCTTTAATGGTAAAAATCGCAAGTCTCTATGATGTTCCTATCACAAGTTATTCAGAAAAAAAAGACCATCGGAACACATTATATTTTGAAATGAGTAGTAGTATATGAAAATCGAATGGCATCTGATCGTTGGATATATTCCCTCGTGAAATCTCTTTTTTTGGCTACCATTCATATGTGTATATCTGGATTTTTTTTTAGCTGAAATTGATGGTCTTGAATGTTGTCCATATTGTCCATATGCTGTTATTGTTGATAATCCAGATGATAAAGTCTTTCGTTGTTTAAATCCTGAATGTATGAAAGAAACTTGCAGGTAAATAATTTTTTTTGTTTTTTTGAAATAATCATTGTAGATATTTGTTTTGAAATTTAGATTATGTAAAGAACCTAATCATATACCATTACGATGTCATGAAGTTGAAAAAGGTGTTGAACTTGAAATGCGTAAATTTATTGAAGAACATGTAACAGAATCTATGATACGTAAATGTCCTCGATGTACTCAGGTATGAATTTTGATATTTTTATTTTGTTTCTATTTTAATTCCTTTCTTTTTTTTTTTATAGAGATTTTATAAAGTTGAAGGATGTAATAAAATGACATGTTCATCTTGTGGTTTATTTATTTGTTATGTTTGTCGTGAAACAATAAATGGTTATGATCATTTTACAAATAATGAAAGGTAATATTTAATAGAAAGATAAAGAAAAAAAGAAATATTTTTTGTTTTTTTTCTTTTCAATAGATGTACATTATCAAATCAAAGTGAAAAAATTCATTATGAAGAAATGTTAGAAGCATATAGAAATGCTAAAAATGAATATCGTCGTTTACATCCAGAAGCACATGATATGATACTTCGTTATGATCCAATATCACATTTAACTAAACCACCTGTTTCATCTACAAGTGCTAGTTGATTAACAATCAATTATATCTTAAAAATTAATTTCTTCCATTGACATTCCGTTTATTTGAACAATATAAAAATAAATATCGCTTTCGTTTTCTTTTTAGTCATCGACTCTCTATGTACTCTTGATAATGTTCGATTTTTTGTTTTCTTAACGAAGATGATATTATGCAAGAAAATCAAACATTACTTTTTTCTTTCTCTCTTGTGTTTCTTCTTCTTCTTCTTTCTGATACTTTTCTATATTGTTCGATTATATCTGAAAACAAAAGAGAAAAATTCTTATTCTTGTTTTTTTTCCTGTACTTATATCTTTTCGACTGTTTTTTTTTTTCATTCAAGTATAAAACTTATAAATATATATAGATTCAACGAATATATAATGTATGATACGAAAACAAAAGAATCAAAATTAACGCATGAATGCATCTTTTCATTATATAGATAGTAGTTTGAAAAAGTAAAAATATTTCGAAATGTCGAGATTTCATAGATTGTCGGGTTAGGTGCCAAGTATGATCTCAAATCTGGGCTTGACCCCGTTGCAAAACATTACTAAAGACAATCGATTGGAAAATAAGATATGATATTTTATTTTAATCCGAAAAATATTGCAAAAAAAAAATCAAACCTATTCAGTCGAGTTTTGTTCTAATGCTTTCTTTTTAGCTCTTTTTTCATTAATAAATTTAAATCCAGTTATTATCAATATACTTGTTAAAACAAGAGCTGAACCAAATAATGATAAAACGTTTGATTTTACTGATGAAAATATATTTTGTAATATAAGAGAGAATAATATTGCACTAGATTGAAGTATGGTAAATATTGATGGATGTTCATATTTAAGTGCTTTCTGCATTAACATCAATCCAGGTATTTGTAATAAACAAATTAATGAAGCACATACATATCTCCAATTGAAAAAATCATTTTTAAATGATTGCATATGATCACGAAAAAAATTATATTCATAAAATACATTACCAAGAAATACACAAAATATTGTAAATGCATTTAATAACATTATTAAACTATGTTTTGTTTTATATTTTGATAATAAATGTTTATTCGATATTACCATTATGGACATTGCTACTGAAGCATATAATACAATTAATATACCTATTAGATGTTGATAGGGATTATTTGAAATATTAATTTTATTTGTATTTGATATTTTACTAAATAAAAAAGTTGGTTGAGCAACAAATATCACACCAGTAGTTGTTAATAAAATAGCTATTATCATTGGTAGAGATGGTTTTTCACAATAAAGAACTGCAGTTATAATTGCTGTCCAAATAACTTGTGTAAAACGTATTGTTGTTAAATCTGGTAATGTTAAATAACGATAAGCAAAATAAAGAGCAAAAGCACCAGTTGAAAAGGAAAAACTATTGATGAATAAAAAAAATATTTCTTGTTTTGTTGATTGTCTATACAATGAATAACGTTTTATTAGTTTCATATGAATGATCATCATGATACTATGCAATAGAGCCATTGGAATTAATGCATAAAGCATATCTATGCTTAATTCTTTTGTTATAAATGTTGAACTAACAAAAATAGATGTTGATACTAATGTATAAATTACTCCTAAAAAATGCGTTGCTATTGTTGGAGATGACTTCACAGGTTTATTTATATTTCCTGCAATAATTGGTTCTATTAATAGATCAGTACATTGTTCTTTGTTATTATCATCTTTTACTTCTATTTTAAAATGATTTTCAATTGTATTTGATTCAATTATTGAACTAAAAAATAATATTTTATAAGATTAGTACAGTCAGATGTCACTATTTGAGACTATAAATCTTTTAGAGTTTTATATGAGACTTAATCTAGTCATAAGTTGATGCTGAACTCGATGATAAATACTAGAAGATTTGTTTTTATTTATTCTCTTTGAAAATAAATTTTTATGTTTTCGTCGTGTTTTTTTACAACTGTAGTTATATTGTCGAATTTTTTGAAAAACCAATCTTATATGAAAAATATGTGGAATTTTATGATTCTGATGTTTTCGAAAGCAAATATCATATGTATGTATGTTTATGGATAATTTTCTAAAATATATGAATATAAGATAGTTTTGTTACCTTTTTGTATCCATTGATGATATTGTGTCAACAAAAAGTTAAGAAAAAAGCATAATGATTGTGTCACCTATTGCTTAGGTCAAATTGTGCTTCATAAACTAGCACATGGATACGGTTCGTTTTTTCTTCGTGCTACGACATGAAAATAAGACTCATTCAATATCACTTTGTGTAATTTATTCATTCCTATTATTTTAAGCTATTAATCATTATCAATGGACATTCATATGACATTAAGAAGCAAGCAAAATCAATTAAGAAAATAACTTATACACTTATATTTCAATAGTTGAAACACTGCTCTGATTCGTTAAGAAATTAACATTAACGTCTTGATCAAAATAAAGAGAACAGGTCTTTTCTTCGTATTCATCCTTTACAAAAAAAGCAGTTAAGTTCTATTGTATAGCCAGGGCTCCGCGTGGCGAATGGGACAATCTCATTCCATTCTGTGCAGGATTCGGAAAATATTTCACGCCATGGGATCCCATGGGAGAAACGTCTTTTACAGGATTTAATTAAAAACAACATAATCATTTCGAAATAGATGTCTTTCTTGATTATTCGAGCGAAATAAGTGAGAAATAATTAATTTTTTTTCTACACTGTAACTGGTTAAGCAATGTAACCATTAGGATTCGATAAAACAAATATCAATGAATCAATATATAAAGTAATAACGCACTTCAATCTATTTGTAATAGTAAGAAATGATTTGATTCTGCTTTTACTTACAATCGATAGAATGTCTTCAGATAGTTCGTCGTCTTTTGTTCATTGTCAATCTGATCAATTTGGTTCAATAACTTTGGCTACTATTTCATCTTCTTCTATCATCACATTATCCTCATCTTTTATTATCGATTCTCCATTAGCTGCTCATGAATTTATAACTGAATGAATTACTCGCTTATTAAAAGAAAAGATCCATCGATTTATAAAGTCATTAAAAACACAAAGAATAAATTATTTTTAGTTTGTTGGTAGATTTCTGATTTTCCAGTCAAGAGATCTCATATAAAAGAAGAATTTGAACTAATTCGAAGCTTTATCAGTTATCCATCATGTTTTTAGTCTTATGGATTCACATCGAGTTCTGCTTCATGAGTACTCAACTCACATATTTGTGCTCAAAAGTTATCTCTTAATAGAAAAAAAGATCTCTGTTAATAGGTAGTGATGAAGCTCGAATGAAATTAGAAACAATTTACAATTGTAGAGAGAATGAAATATATTATTTCATTGTGAAAATAAGTAAAAGAAATATGAACTTGATTTTTTCATAATACTATTTTCAGGAAAAGTCGTAGAAAATATAATGATTCCTCATCTTATTTAGAAGTTAATGGCCTTAGTAAAATGTTAGCATAGTCCCTGAGCGATTAAAATGAGAAATGCCATGAAACTGCTGTTGCTAATCACAGAGATATTGTTTTATTTCATGTATCTTGGGACAAATTTCTTCATCCTGCTTTTACTTAATTCTCCAAAAAGACATCACAAAGGTAGTTAATACATTGTAACGAGTCGTTATTGATATACGGTCTGTGAGCGGAGAGACCCAAATTTCTACTCTATATACTTCAGAGTGTAGGTATGGATGAAGAAAATATTCTAACATTCACACCCATTTTTTGTCTACCTGACAGTGTAACATATCCAACAATCGGATGGCAGTCGATTATATTTAGTAATTACTAGTAGGTCTTAGGGTAAAGCTTAAAAGAGATTCGAGCTCATGATCAACTAATGAAGAGTTATGACCGTTTGAATGAGTTTTTTGTTGAGATCTTGGCATTACCGAAAAATTCAAAATAAACAGTTTTGATCTGAAGTTTTATCTATAGACAGATTTAATAGTCATTATATAATCCTTTAAGTTTCAGCAAAAATAAATATGTCTTTCTTTGAATATCTCGAAAAAGACATGTTCGATTTCGTTGAAATTTTCAGTATTATCAAATGACTTGTAGGTATAGACAAAATATAAAGTGAACATCCTTTACTTTGAGCTTATCAAAAATGTCATGTTCTCAGTAAAAATTTCAATTAAATGACCAAAACTCTTCATCAGTAGGTCATGAGTAGTACTCGGTGTGACCACCGTGACTTACGGGTAGTCACGGTCACGGTCACGGCTGTGACCGTGACCAAAAAAATTTGGTTACATTGGACACTAGTTATGAGTCCAAATCCTTTTAAATTTTTCTTAGTGTCCCTGAAACCTACTCATAGGTACCATCCATTTCAAAACAAAATGTACTCCACTATTTGTTGAGTAAATTTTTGTAGGAATATTATAGATACCTGCGGTTTTCACTATTCAAGAAAGAAGATTTGAGGCCATGGGAGTATTGAATGTTGATTGATCAGCAATAGAATAATCCGATGAGTTGTTGGTGGAAGTTTTTGAAAACGACACTGAAGCTGTTTTTCTTACTATTTAGACTTTGAATAGGGCTAATTGATAGAAAAAATTCTAGTCGAGTGATTTTTTTTCGTTCAAGTATAAAACTTATAAATATATATATGGATTCAATGAATATGTAGTGTATAGAATGAAAACAAAACGATGAAAATTAAAGTACGAATATATCTTTCGATAGAGACTACTGTCTTCTACGGGTACAATTTTTCGTACTCGGACTTGGACTGACACTTTTTTTTTGTGTACACCGATCCACATCGAACTTTTAGTTTCTTCCATAAACATCAACAAAAAGAAGAGATCATTCCAAATTCCAGAAAAAAGTAAGTGATTCACAGTTTATTTGGTGTCATTCTGCTTCTAAAATTTGATTGATTCCACTAAGTATATGTTTGCTTATTGCTGATAATGCTGAAATGGAACTTAATGTTGATGTCGAATGCCATAATTATAAATACTATTTACATGAACGCTTTCTTCGTCACGATAATAGATGTCCACGTTTTTGATAATTTATTTTACTTTTCATGTATTCAATTACTTCGTCATTTGATTCGTTATCATCTGTAGATGAGTTTTTACAAAAAAAACAAAACTTGTCAGTGTGACCCCAAGAGGGACTGAAGTTTGGAACTCACAAACTCTGATTGTTATAAATTTACGATATATTGTCGAATGTTTTAAAATAATTTATTTTAAAAAATGCCAAATAAATGACTAAATCAAAATTATAACAATTTTTATAGTTGATAATTACTTTTCTAGCAATTTATTTGATTCACTTAATATCGTTATACTGCAAAATCTTATTTGTATTATCAGATACAGCTTCAAAACATAAATTCGATTTTTCTAACGATAATATATAAATATGATATATGCCATAGGAAAGAGCAAATATATTTGTACTCTTCGTTTTGTCAGTTCGACTATCATATTAGTCTGCTATTCATATTAATTTGATTGCTCAATAAGCTTCTACATATCCTATGCTTTCTTTCGACGAATTTCGACTTTTGCTACTGATTTTTATCTAAACTTAGAATTAAATTAGTTCAAATTTTTCTATGTCCGCTCTATTCTGATCCTGCTAGATGAAAAACCCAAACTCGTCAGTATTTAGGCTAAAAAATTAGAATCTAGAGAGTTTCCGAATGATCTAAGCATTGATATTACACTTATGCGCCATTGCTCACTGCTAGGGAAACATATCCAATAACCTTTGGCTTTCCCCATCACTGGTTGCTAGGACCTAATGGGAAGCTACTAGAGTCTGTAATGGCGAGGGATAAGAGCACCCACAAAAAACCTCGATTTAAACTGACATTCACTATTTTCTTTGAAAGTATGTGCGAGTTTCACAAAACGAAGTCTCTTTGTAAAACAATATTACTTTCCACTTCTGTAACTTGTTCTCAAGTACCATGCTTGATTGTGATCGAATTGGTTTTCATTCTTATTCTTGTATATATAAAGATGTTTTTGAAAAAGTAAAAATATTTTGAAACGTAAAGATCTCATATATTACCGGATCGAGCACCAGATACTTGATCCAGTTGCAGGATATTAATACAGACAATCAAAAATTGATTTGTCTATGAATAATTGATGTTTAATTCTTCTTATCTGTTGTAATTTACATTTAACAAAAGATTATGTACTGTTCAATAATTAATTGTTGAAAAATTAGATATGCTATTTTATTTTAATTCAAAAAATATTATAAAAAAAATCAAACCTATTCAGTCGAGTTTTGTTCTAATGCTTTCTTTTTATCTCGTTTTTCATTAATAAATTTAAATCCAGTTATTATCAATATACTTGTTAAAACAAGAGTTGAACCAAATAATGATAAAACGTTTGATTTTTCTGATGAAAATATATTTTGTAATATAAGAGAGAATAAAATTGCACTAGATTGAAGTATGGTAAATATCGCTGGATGTTCACATTTAATCGCTTTCTGTACTAATACTAATGCAGGTATTTGTAATAAACAAATTGATGAAGCAAATAAATATCTCATATTGAAAAAATCATTTTTAAATGATTGCATATGATCACGAGAAAAATTATATTTATAAAATACATTAATAACTAACACACAAAATGTTGCAAATGCAGTTAATAACATTATTAAACTATGTTTTGTTTTATATTTTGATAATAAATGTTTATTTGATATTACCATTAATGATAGTGCTATTGAAGCATATAATGCAATTGATAAACCTATTAGATGTTGATAGGGATCATTTGAAATATTTGTTTCATTTATATTCGATATTTTACTAAATAAAAAAGTTGGTTGAGCAACAAATATTACACCAATAGTTGTTAATAAAATAGCTATTATCATTGGTAGAGATGGTTTTTCACAATAAAGAACTGCAGTTATAATTGCTGTCCAAATAACTTGTGTAAAACGTATTGTTATTAAATCTGGTAATGTTAAATAACGATAAGCAAAAGTAAAAGCAAAAGTACCACTTGTAGAGAAAAAAACATTGAGAACTAAAAAAAAGATTTCTTGTTTCGTTGATTGTCTATATATTGAATAATGTTTTATGAATTTCATATAGATAATCATTAGTATAGTATGCAATAGATTCATTGGAATTAATGCATCAAGTACATCTACGTTTAATTCTTTTGTTATAAATGTTGAACAAACAAAAATAAATGTTGATACTAATGTATAAATTACTCCTAAAAAACGCGTTGCTATTGTTGGAGATGATTTAATAGGTTTATCGATATTTTCTGCAACAGTTGATTCTATTAATAGATTAGCACATTGTTCTTTGTTATTATCATCTTTTTCTTCAATTTTAAATGAATTTTCAATTGTATTTGATTCAATTATTGAACTAAAAAATAATATTTTATCCGATTAGTACAATCAAATGTTATTACTTGAGATTATAAATCTTTTAGAGTTTTATATGAGACTTAATCTAGTCATAAGTTGATGCTGAACTCAATGATAAATACTAGAAGATTTGTTTTTATTTATTCTCTTTGAAAATAAATTTTCATGTTTTCGTCGTGGTTTTTTTTTGGTTAATATCTATTGACAACTATAGTTGTATTACCAAACTTTTTGAAAAACCAATCTTATATAAAAAATATGTAGAATTTTATAATTCTGATGTTGTCGAAAGCAAATATCATGTATGTGTATCCGTGGATCATTTTTCAAAATACATGCATATAAGACAGTTTTGTTACCTTTTTGTATCCATCGATGATATTGTATTGAGATAAAGTCAAGAGAAAAAAAAACATAATGATTGTTTCACCTATTTTTTTTGTGTCGAGTAGACCCCATACGCTAGCACATGGTTATGGTTCGTTTTTCTTTTTTCTTTCTATATCACAAAACACACGAGACTTATTCAGTTTCACGCTGTGTATTTATTCATTTCCATTATTTCAAGTTATTGATCATTATGTCTGAATATACATATAACAATAAGAGTTAAATAAAATCATTTAAGAAAGTAACTTATACAGTTATATTTGAATATTTGAAATATTTTTCTGATTCGTTAATAAATAAACAATATTTTCTTGATGAAAATAAACATAATATATCTATTCTTTGTACCTACCCTTCATATAAGGGAAGTTAATTTCCCTTGTGTAAAGGATAGATAGAAAGAAAAAGTATGTTTTATTTATTTTGAACAAGTAGATATAGTCACATAAATTATAATATTTTTATTGTTTTCTAAGAGTATATAAGAAAACCAAGCATTAAATGAATTTTTTTTTTGTTGGTACATATAATTAATTGTTTTTCAGAATCAAATTAAAAATAAATAATAACAACAACATTGAACAATAATAATACAAAGGCAAAAGAAATTGACTTTAGAAAAATAATACAATTCAATTTAAAATATGAAACAAAATTATAAGAAAAAAATACATTTGATTTTTTTAAAAAAAATCTATAATTATAAGTATCTAGCTCAATAATCAAGAAATGATAGTTTTTATGTCTCAGAAGACTTTGTATGAATAATTTTTTTATAATACTATCCAAAAAAAAAATGTAGTTTTCAATCGATTTTGATGAATTTTGCATTTAATTGTTTTCTGTGTTGCTTGTAATCTTTTAAGAGAAAGTCCTCATCTTATTCAGAAGTTAATCACACTAATATAAGAAAACAATTTCATAACGCCTTCTAGGATTAGAAAACTACAATTTACTATTGACATCATCATCATCATCATCATCATCATTCCAATTTGTGCTAAATACTTAACATAATAGAAAAACAAAATTTATTCTCATAATTTTGTTCAACTTTTTAATTTTATTAATTTTGAATTTTGAATTGTTTATTGAATGATAAATTATTCAATGTAAAAATAATAAAACATTTTATGATAAGTATTTTGTTATAATATATTACTGTGTATTCTTCGTTGAATATATCTGTTGAAATTCTATGTATCAAACATCTATGTAATTCATAAATAATTAATTATCATACGATTATAATTTTTGAAAAGTTATCTTAAAAGTAATTTTTCTAGTATCTTATTGTACAGTCGTTTTAAATATTTTTCCTCTTTTTTGAGTTGAACCATATGTTGTACAAGGCTTTCGTATATTTAAATTTATATTCGATGAATTCGATATATTTATATTATCATCATTTGTACTTGTCGATCTTGTAGTTACAATACTTTTAAAACGTTTTCGTGTGAAATAACGTAAAATAATCGATGTTTGAGATCGTCGTTTTCTAAAAGCAACTGAAAATGATTTACAACAAACTGATTGACATAAAGACCATGCAGAACTTCGAAATTTTTTACCAATAACACAATAAAATATAAAAGATAATGCATGATAAGAATTTTGAATTAAACGTAAACATTGATTTAATTGTAAAAAAAATTTTATTGATAATGATTTTAAAAAAAAATAATTTGAAATTGATTGAATTATAAGACTAATATTAAATGGTCCTGTCATTATTAAAAAAAGACAATTTATTACTATTAATAATATTGATGAATTATCTTGTGCAGAAAGAATACGTCGATTTGTATGACATTTTCCACCAATATTAACCATTGAACGACGTCGTTCATTTATTTTAATTATAATTATTATACTACTTGTTAATATAATTAAAAATGGAATAATTGCATAAATAAATGTATCAATAATATTCCATAGAAAACAAACAGTACATTGAATAGGTTTGCTTGTTTGAGTTAGAAAGAATTTTTTATGATAAATAATAGAAATATTTTTTAAAGATTTTATATTATTTATTGGATTATTAGTTGCACGTTGAAATTGTTTAGATTGTTCAGTTGATCTATCATCACACATATGATGTTTATATAGAATACCATAATTAAATAATATTTGAGCATCAAAAATAAATAATGGTAGAATAATACAAATTATAAGAATAACCAATGTTGGTGTCTATAGAAGAAAAACAATAAACTTCTTAGTTCGGAAAATTATTTCATTCGTATAATTTCTTCGTTTCAAAATGATATTATTTTCTTGAGGGCATGATAAATTTAAATTTCTCTAAATTATCATCTAATGAATGATATAAACTAAAGAATACTATTGCAAAAGGTCTAGATTAAATGCTGCGTATGTATAGTTATATTTTCAGAGAAAAATAATTTCATTTGAAAATCATACGAAAAGTTCCACCTATGAATAAGTGATAAACTCTGACTGTTCTAAATCCAGTTCAAGTACGACTTAACTTACTGAGTTACATTTTTCTATAAATATCACAAGGAAAATGGTGTACTTTTGAATTTGGAATTACTTTGAGACACTTTAAACTACTTGATGCAACTTGGCATTACTCGAAATTTCTATGATATAGGTCCAAACGTTCGTATTCAATGTTATCACATTAGGTTCCGTTCGTTTTTTTGCTAACTAACAGCATAACATTGAAAAAGTTAATTATGCAAAAGAAAAAAAAAACCGGTATAAATGTTTTAAATCTAACACTAAATAATATTTTATTAAGTCAAATATTCGAAGTTGTGTATTACACCCAATAAAATTATTAAAACAAGAACAGGAATTAATACTAAGTGAAAACAATAAAATTCAACAAAAAAATATATAATTGATGAATTCCTTGGAAATTATTCACTCTTGATATCGTTAATCAGATGATAACAATACAGTGCCCTCGAAAAATACCAACAAAACAAACTGATTCTTAGCATTGTTCATTAATAGCTTGATGTAGTTTTGCATTGTCGTCGTGAAGAATGAGACTCCGAGGATCGTTCTTTTGCCTTCGTTCTGATATAGTTTTGAAGATTATAGTAGACAGGTGTTGACATACCAATTTGCATTGAGCGCTACATCATTTTCCAATGGTACCGACTTGATGAAACCAGATTTCATATAGAAATTAGCTACCAATTTTTTTGTCTGAGCTTTTGTTTCGATGAGCTTTGATTAGGCATGTATGAGTTTTTGGCTGCCGATTAACTAATGTGGCACCCACAGAGCACAAACTTTACATACTTTCAAACAATAATGAATAATTGAATTGATTGCTAGCGAACTAATACCCCAAGTGTCTTCGATATGTTCGTATGTTGATTGAGAATCATTTTTAATTACTGTTTGTACAGCAATTAAGAACTGTGAGATCTGAAGGTGATTGATTGTTTGCATCATTGGCCAATTTACAATTAGATTAGCATCAACATGCATTGTAAATAGATATATCAAAACACTGGATATTATCTTTCCTTGATAGGAACCAGCTTTTCATGTTTTTTTTTCACGATCCGATTCGTCTCGTAACGAAGTGATGACATAGATTATTGTCATCAGAGACGGAGTTATGTTTTAGAATCAATAAAATTAGTAAAATCCATATACAAGAATTGAACAGTGATAATCATTATACAAAATCGAACAACTGTTTGGCGAAGAGGGATGTTAACCCTTTATACCCTGAAGCGGTTCCAGAAGAGTCGCTGATAAAACTACCACAAAAATAGAGTATTGGTCTCCCCAACATACCAATGGTATGGGCAGATCGATCAGGCGCACCACCTTTTGTTCAGAGAAATTTGATAACCACAGTGATCATTGAGACAGAGAAGGGGATGGAACAGCTTTAAAAGCCCTACTTCTTTTCTTGTTTATGACGGTATTAATTAGACAAATGTGCTTTCTATTCCTTTTTATTAGATTCAAATCCAAAAAGAAAAGCTACGAATATAAAAAACTATTTTTAAACACCACATGTATTTTTGACAGAGATTTTTTAAAAATACACATTTTTCTTTAAGTAATTATATCATCAATGAAGACATTTAATCGATGATAAATATTTTTTTCGACTGCTACTCTGATAAGATTTACGAATAATATATTCATGGTGTCCGCCATCTTCCTCTTTCTATTCAATAGTCGTTTCAGAATCCATCTGGTATATTACCATTTCTTATCTGCCAAGCCACTCTGAAATTTTTGAAACGAATTTAGTTAAATAGTAGACACTACTGTCGATATAGATGACACAATACAGTCTCGAAATCCCTATTGTGTGTGAGTGAAAAACCGTTTTGTTTTTAAAATTTTGTTATTCTTAAATTCTTTCAAAATCGATAATTTTGAAAGTCATATATCTCGGAGCTAGAGCAACGAAACAACATAATTTTTTGCCAATCGATAGCTTATGGAGTTTCGTACCAATATTGTTTTGGGAGTTTTCAACACCATGCTTCCTGTATTTTCTGCAAAACTTTGTATGAATGGGTCAAAAATGACTCAATAGGGTATAAAGGGTTAACTCAAACGATCGTCAGAACTACAACTCGCTTATTAAATTGATATCAGATGATATGATAAAATTTTTCAGCGAGAGTGCAGTTGGACATGGTAGTAAAAGTCTACATTGATAAATCAACTAGTATTAGTGAACGTAAGTCTATTTTTCAACTTTGAACAGAAGAAATCCAAACTTAATAATCATTAACCTTTTCATAAATTTAACTATGCAATCAATATGGTGTATTGTGTTTATCGGTCTTTTATGATGGTCTCGACTAACAACAATATCGTTTTTCAACTCATCAAGAAGTAAAGCAACAAGTGAAAAGAAAAATTACGTTAGCAAATAATTTATTACAAAACCTACATAATTATCTGTTGAATTAAGCGCACATAATCTAGTTTATTCAGTACTTTTATTCGACGTTCACCAGAGTTATCAATATTAAATCAATTTAAATACGATCAATTGGAAGATTAATCTATCTTTTCCCACGCATCACAAACATAAAAAAGATGAATCATTAGTATTGTCAGATCAATGAGACAAAATTGATAGATTAGATGTCGAACAGATAGGAGAAAAAAAAACTAGTGTTTTTATTGTAAATTCGTTATATTAAGGCCTATCAACCTCGAATTGCTATTTATGATCATGGTCTATCGAGCTCTATTTATAGTCAAAATATCAGGCAAAAGGATTGAAGTTTACATGCTTTATACTAAGTAGCGAAACTTCTTGCGACTACTATAAAATTCTTCAACGATGTCACTATAAAATTATATGAAATCTTATGTGAAGGAAAGATCTTTCAAGAGTTTTGCAGTACGATTTCATCTGATTGTACAAAATCTGACGTTTGATTTTGTAACATGGGTAACTTGAATATATTTGTAGTTTACAGGAAGTACAATTTTCCTAAGACTGAAACAAAATTCATGCAGTGAGATATAAAAAGAAGTTCAAGCAGAGAACAGTAGTTTTCCATCCGATGACTTGACTATTACGATCTGAGACTGCTTCCTCTCATCAGTCTCATATACATAAAGTAAATAGAACGAGAAACATAATTATTAGCTTTTGAAAATCATAATATTCTTTTATATCTATTATTGGAAACCAAATCATGAGAAAAAAAAACAATTCATTATATGAATCTGTAATTATGTCAAATGACAAAGTAATAATAAATCCTGTATGTAATTCTATTCATTTATTTGTTCAGAAGAATGATGAAAGCTCGATTGTAGCTAGAAAACTTCGAAAAACGATAGGAACTCGATAATCGCATCGATTGGACGGATGTTTTTTTCGACTCGTAACATAGCCAGTCATCTAGACACAACCATCGAATTGCTATTTACACTATTTTTCAGCCAGAAAAAACGATGTCCTGAGGAGTACCCATAGAACTGAGCATCAGAATCATTAATCTGAATATCTTATGTATTGTGGTGTATCCTGAACAAAATCTATTTCTACATACCCATGATTTTGTTCGATGAGAATCTAAACTAAGTAATGCATATACACGTTGAATACTTGTTGAAACAAGTTGCCATGAACAAAGATGTCCAGTAAATGCTACAATGAATGTATGTAAACGACATAGTTGTGGTGAAATATGACGTAAATCTCGATTATAAGTATTTATATGACGAATTGATATTGCCAATAAATAGAAAATATTTAAAGTACAAAGAATAGTTAAATTACGATAAACACCTAAACAACGTAATTTTTTATTGAATAAAATTATTATTGATAATCCATTTCCAATAAAACCAATTGTAAATATAAATATTGTTAAATAAATATAAATTATTGAAATTGAATCAATTTTTGAAAAAATTGATGTTGAATTAAAACATTCAATAACTTTTCGAATTGTATGATAAACACAAAAATATGATGAATTTGAAGATGAAACTACATATCGTAATAGATATGGACATGTTACTGGTTCAGTTGAATTTAATTTACACCAACATGTTTCAAAATAATTAGCTTTACATAATGATAAATTATTTCGAGAAAGAATATTTTCCTAAATGACAAAAAGAAAAAAAAACATTTTTTTCCTATTTTAAAATGTTCTTCTTGATAAATGACAAATATATTATTTATAAATTGTTGAGAATAAATTTTTATTTTATTTTCCATTAAATTTAATTTTACTTTATCAGAAATTGTTACTATATATTTTTTCACATTGCAAAGTTTATACTTTTTGACTTATAAAAATTGTCTCTTAATTCGTCTTTAGAAAGCGTTTTTTTCTTTAATCGTGTTATATATTCAATCTTTAGACACCTTCATAATATTTTTATGAAGATTTAAAACATCAGAAGCTTATCTATGACATCAGAGTTCATTAAATCTTTAATCTTATGATGAGATTTTTCACTGACTTTTAATAAAGCAACAACATGTCAGCTACACAAAAGAAATGGAGATAATAGAATCTAAAATGAGGATTCGCTTTTACGTAGAATAAATATTTCATAAAACAAGATCTTCTTTTCATTAAAAATTGTTTGTTAAAATTTATGGCAAAAGTCAAATTAGTCGGCTGAACTAAACTTATCAAAAACCAATGAAATCTTTATTAATTCTGGATATTTATTACCTAATCTCAATAAATTTCAATTGATGAAAAATATTTACATAAAACTTTACATTTCTACAAATGACCAGAAGTTTTTTAGTACTGAAATTTTCTTCTAAATTTTAATCATTATTACTATTTCAATAGTTTCCACCTATAGGATGTCTGAAAAATTGCTCCATATTTTAAATTCTTTTTTTTCTCTTTACTAAGAATAGATATTGTGTTACTTTTTTTTTATTACTATTTTGAAGCATGCTTTATGAGATTTCGTTTTACATAAGAAAGAATGTTAATGAATGGATTATGTAAGATTAAACGCAAAGCTTGAAAAATAACTTCTTATTTTTCATCATTGATTAATTTTATATAAAGTATGTATGGTGTAATAATTTTTTCATGGTTTTGAAATGCAATACAGTCAGGACTATTTTTGAGACATTATCGCGTAAACCGATTACACACATCTCACAATAGAAAAAAACTATTACAATATATATGCTTTGTATAAAAATAATAAATGATGAAAAATAAGAAGTTATTTTTCAAGTATTCTTCGAATGACATTTGCGTTTGATTTTACATAGTCAATTCATTAACATTCTTTCTTATGTAAAATAAAACCGCATAAAGAATGCTTCAAAGTAGTAAAAAAAGTAATACAATATCTATTCTTAGTAAAGAAGAAAAAAGAATTTAAAATAGGAAGCTACTTTCTAGACATCCTGTATTTGATTTTCCGTTTTTCATTCTATTATTTTCGATCACACTTACTATACGTAAAGTATTTGTTATGTTCATCATCGCACTTTAATTGTTGTTGTTTTTTCCTGCCATTGAATGAAAAACATACAATTATATGAATAGTTTTATCTTAAGTCTCTTATTCCAATAAGAATCATGTAGCTTCTTTGTCATTATTAGTGTCATTACTCCAGAAGTTTATTCTAAAAGCACAAACGATTATTATGAAATACATGTCATACTGTATGTGGGAACAATCGTAATGGAGAGAATAGACTTCCGAGCGTTTTAGGAGATAAAAAAAAACATGATTTCCCCAAGGTCACTGTTTTTCATCAGCAAACACAAAGATTAGGAAGATTTGAAAGTTTGTTCATCGCTCTGTATAAACATTATCTCTTGGATCAATTGATATAATTGTCAACGGATTAATTTCAAAAAATTTGACAATAATTGATGTATGTTCTTTTCAAATTACTCAATATTATTAAATCGTAATAAATTATCAAAAATTTCAATTTCATTTCTTACTTCATCAACATCATCATGCGATTCTTGCATTCGTGCCATAATTCGCTTATTAATATGATGGCGAAAAATCTGTAAAAAAAAAAACAAACATGACATATTCTAAATATTTAAAGAATTACTCTCTTAGGATTTTTTTTACTTTTCTTCTGTTCTTTCTTGTATTGTCTTTCTTGACTCAATAGTGTGATAGATAGTATCTGTGAAGAATGTCAATGTAACATATTTAAGATGTTGATTGGACGTAACGGAGATAACGAAAGAAAAAAATAGAGAGAGAGAGAGAGAGAGAACTTGCTAAGAGCTCTATAATATGATAGCAACCGTGTATATTTTTATTTTCTTGTTTTTCTATGTAGACATATAACCAAGGGATGACTTTGAATCAGAAGGAGACTTCTAATTGAAAAAAGAAAGCCTACGGGATAATATGAAAAAGGATTATATTGCGAACAATTGTCAAAAATATATTCTTTCAAAAAAAAAACAATAATATTTTAGTCTCGTTATTTTAATTAGTATTCTTAATTGATCAAAGCAATCATATTTAGTTATCATCAAATTATTAATTCAAATAATTAATTGTCAAGAAGCAGGATGGATGAAAGAATTATTAAGTCTACGATGGATTTACTGAACTCTTTGATGACTGCCAAGGCATATGTGTCACGAACTTTATCAACTTATAATGATTGTTTTTTTGACACATTTGCGTAAAAGCAAACGTCAAACAGCAGGAGTTTTCAACACGATTATTATTTTACCGCCTATATTAGAGTCCTGCATTAAGAAATGAAGATATATGTGATGTAAAGTAATTCTATTTTTGTTTAGGCGTATCATTTGTTGGTAATTAAATAGTTAATTATAATATCTAAAGATATGTTTAGCAGATACAATTAATCATGTGTCAGAGACAAGTTTCTCAATATGATTATGTGCTTATTTTAATCATCCTCTGTTTCATCATTATGGTATATATTTATAAACGAAGTTAAGTTTCTCTTTTATAATAGATTATTTGAGTCTTGTTACACATCTTGGTTGACTAGAAAAGCAAACAATATTTAATAGTAGTATGACAGTAGTGAGGTGGCAGTAATTCAAAAATTGAGCAAATATTTTTTTGGGATATTTTTATATCATTCAATAGAACTCGATGAGCTCTAGGAGAAAATCTATAGATGAAAATTTCAAACTCATTTTTTGACATCATATTTATACGATGCTTAGAAAAACTTCACTTTTTCCATATGGAAGAAAAATGCTCAATTTTCTAACAAGTTTACGTTTTCTGATTGTTATTTTGTATGTAGTATGCTTGGACAAGTGTTCATCACATATAATATGAAAAACTCCATCTAGTGACGTGATTTAAACTATGTCACTAAATGCAGTTTTTTACGGTGTATCTAATGAACATTTTTTCAAGCTTCTTACCATCAAAAATAATAATTGAAAAAGCAAAGTTTTTCAAAGTGTAGAGTTCGTCGATACCTAATGAATCATGTAAAAATATTGCAAAAAAATTGTTGTTCTATTTTTTAATTACTAATACCTTCATATGTCAAACGGAAAAGAAAACTTATAATAAGCTTAAATATAGAACAAACTAATAAACAAGCATATCTGCCTGAAAAATCCATTATTTGAACAGTCCGTATTCATTTAGTAATTTTCATGAAATTCAATTTAGCGGTAATGTTACAAAAAATGAGAAATATATTTTTGTTTTTAACCTTTATGTTTTCGGATACCAATCAATTATCATGTTTTTCTGAATGCCATAATATTAAGATAGATATTTCGAAACCATTTGATGAACCATCAGAAACGTATCAATGTGTTACTGATGCTCGAGCAACAAGATGTTACGGACGAATAATGATTTATTATAATGACATTGATAATCATCAATCCTATATATCATATTCATTTGGTTCAGATAATCATATTATAGAAAATGAAATTGAAGAAATAGCAAATGAAAATGATTTTAAATTCATAATATATTTCTTATTTTTAGTAGAATCTTTTGATACAAAAGAATTAGTTATTAGTGCATATATTGTATGTGAAACAATGGACAATTGTGCTTTGAATTATATTAAAATTTTATTTAATCTATTTAATACACAAAGAAATCCAATCAATCAATTAAGTAAATTACTTTATAACAGTAATGAATCAACAATATTAAGTTGTTATGATTATAAAACTGGAAAAACTACGGAATGTTTAACATCTGACTATCCAACATGTATTATTAATAATACTGCTCTCTTTGAACAAGGATGTTATTTAGATGCAAATACAAAATTAGAATATGTATTTATGATTACATCATCAAAGAAGCAATCAATAGAAAAAGTACTTGAATTAATTATATGCAATAGAGATAGTTGTAATGATGAATTAATATTAAAAGAGATTGAAATTATTATATATAATCATACATTATGGTTCGATATAACATTAAATAATTCTAATAAACTTATTTTTTATTTATTGAATTTAATTTCTTTATTTATATTTAGAAATATTTTTTGAAGATTAAGTTTAGAAAATTTTAATAAATTTTTTCATACATTTATTTTAAAATAAAATCTGGTTAATATAGATAAGAATGTCTTTATTTAGAAATAGAATATGATTTTTAGTTTTTGTTTTTTTATTACAAAGAAATTTCATTACAGTTAGAACATAAATCTCATGTAACATGTCGAAGATTATGCGATGAACACATCACATATTCTCATTGAACCTGTTAGATATATATATAATAGGGTTTAGGAACAGAAAAAATTCACTAGATTTTATAGAAGAGATAGAACTAACTACAGTTTTACAAAACATGTTAATTCATTTAATAGTATTAGAAAGAATAATACATACTAAATACAAAGATAAAAACGGAAAAAAGTAGTTATACTGGAATACCCTAAAATGACAAAAAGTACGGATGGAACGTGCATGAGTACAAATATCAAGAGAAGGAAAGAAAGAAAAGAAGAAATATACCATAGTGGCACTATCTACCAAACGATAAGAAACTTTTCTAAACAATTTCGACATATACTACTGCGGTCTTTAACCGATAGATACATATACACACATATATATGTTGCCGGAAGCGAAAGGGTCAAGTATTTTCGAAAATCTTTTGGAATCTGAAAAACAAAATGAACCAATAAAATATTTTCTAATAAATTCTATTTGTCAGAATAAAACTAACTTGATCATCAACATAACTTTAATAATAATGCTAATGTAGGTAAAAACCTCTAAACAATTGTAATATGAAAAATTATGTTGATCAACTACTGACTCAATACGATTTATAGACAAGAAATCATTTTACGAACATTGTCAGTAGACATGCTCTGGGCACGAACTTTCCGGCTTCGGTTATTCTTAATATCAGAAATAATTGAACCCAAGCCTCCCGGTCTGTTTCCAATTTCCGTATATAATTAGTTGTCAGATTAAGATGCAGGATATTTCCTGAATGTCGAGGCTCGTCAAAATTAATTTATATACAAACGGAGATTAATCTCTAATCAAATTTATTTAGATGAACTTTGAATACTCGTATCAAGGTTTTCAATAATAATAAGAAGATAAAAATGAGAATATGATAATGGATTTTTCGAAATCAATCAACAAGATATTTTATTAAGAGATGAAAATTGTTTATCTTTCACTTTAGTTTGTATCTATGAAAATATACTCAGCAATTTATTGGAAAATTTAACAAAAAAAATCATGTTAATTGATTTGGAAAAAATTATCATTAAATTATTATGTTTATATTGTTTATTAATACAAGACAAGACTTCATTGAATCGTATGGCGTTTAAATAACAGATATGAATATTCAAAGCTCATGTAGATGCATTTGATTAGAAATCAGTTCCTCTCTAACTTGCCGGAAATGCAAAATTAAAGCAGTTTTTTTTTTCTTTTCTTTATATATAGTTTAGATAGAGCATAACGAGTGAACCAAAAATATATGCATTTACAATGTTTTGTAATAATTTTCAATTTTTGACCAAAAAGATTATTTCAAAAAATTAAAAACCACATATATTCTTGATTCACTTATCATGCTCTATCTAAACCATATAGAAAGAAAAGAATAAAAAAAAACTTCTACTTTAATTTTGCATTTTCGATCACTTGTTATATAAATTGATTTTATCGAGCTTCAAAACTTATGAGATACCTGCCGAATCGACGCTTTAATTCCTATTGAATATCAATCATCTTTTACATTATATCAAAAGTCAATGCGAAAAGTTTACGTAAATAATGTTTTAACAGTACAAGCAATTTATATATTTTTTTTTGTAATATTACAATATATTTTCAGATAAATGTCTATGCATATGAACATTAGAATCAAAATAGATTTATTAAAGGCCAAATTTACGTCACCTATGGTTATGAAAGGAAAATGCAAGTCGATTTTGATCTACAAATGCCAGACATAGGTTGTGCCTTTCCGAAATCAGTATAGTAGTAAATAGACAACAATTTCATGAAGAAGTTTCACAAGATCGAGTTGGAATTCTCAAATTTTGATATCAATGCTTAGCACTAAATATAAAGAAAAAACCTAGGGTGTATAAGACATAGAATAAACATTTACTTAAATTTCAAAATAAGAACCAATAATGGAAATGAATTAATTCGAAAATAAACTTTCTGCTGTATTTTTTTTCAAGAATTTGAAAAAGGATAGATATATATATTTCAGTTCATGGTGATCATTTTAAACATTTATTGTTAACCAAATTATATGAAATAAAACTTTAAAGAATATACGATCATACTATAAAAAAAAGCAATTGAACCTCTTGAAATGTACGAGAGATATTTCCGTGAACTTTTCGCATGAATTTTTGGTACACTTTGTACATATTCGATGATGTTTTATATGAATAGCGATCATCAAACATTTCCTATAAGGATATTCTCCGTCGGTGTAAGAGCAAAAAAATTTTAAACAAAATCTTCGAGGTTTTTTCCTGGAAAAATCCTGATTTTTCATTGGACCTCATCGAGTCCGCTTACAGTCCCTCTCGAAATCTGTTCGATTGGGGTGAAGCTTCTACTACAGATATTTGAAAGTATTTTAAAGAAATGAAATCGGTCATGTTCGTTTTTGACTTTCTTATCTGGCGTTATAAAGCCAGTCTAAAATCACCTTTGAAATATTGTCTAAGGAATGTTCAAAAAACTTCCAATCTAATCAGACAAAGTGAGAGGAGGATCGTAAGTAGATCCTGTATGTTCCTATGGAAAACCAAGGTTTTCCAAAAAATAAACTTGTTTAAAAGTTTGTTTTCTTGAATATCGCTCCTTTTATTTTTGATGTTCTATCTGTGATAAAAATTTCAGGTAGTTCAGCTATACCCTCTAAGAGAAATCACTGGTTTTTTTTCTTTGTTTTATTTAATTTTAATGTTCAAATTCATTTTTATGATATTTAAAATGATCTTCTAAAAATGTCATAATAAAAAAATAATCATGTTCATAACCAATTTGTTCACGTAATTGTATTGGAAATGAAGCATTTGTACATGCTTCAATAAATTTATCTGGAAATAAATAATTATCTTTATATTGATCATTTGAACCTTGATCAATTAAAATTGGTGCATATGGCATTGGACCATCATATGAAGCAACAAGTTCACAAGCATCATATTCTTTCCAAAGTTCTTCATCTTGAAAAAAAAAGATAAAATTTTTTGTTTTTTCACAATGTAAAAGATAAAAACAAAAAAAAAATAAACAATTTCATCAAACCTTGTCCAAAAAATTTTATAAATGCATTTCTACTCCATTCACATTTCAATACATTATAAATAGGTGCAAAAGCTGATACAGATTTATATTGAGCAGGACATTTAAAAAAACTAATTAATGCACCATGACCACCCATATTATGTCTTGAAAGATAAAATCAGAAAATATATAGATCTTTTATTATTAACATATTCTATATTTACCCGAAAATTCCTATACGATTAATATCAACATTAAAATTTTTTATAAGTAATTCATAAAATTCATCATTAACATAAGAAAACATTTGATAATTCTTTGACCATTTACTTTCTATTGCATCGATATAATATCCAGCACCTTCGCCAAAATTCGATTGATCGTCATCACCTTCAATATTGCAACTGCCTACAGTAATATACAATAAAAAAAAACTTTTGACACAATATCTATGGAATTAAAATATAAAACACGATACAGCTGCTATTGTTAATCACTGACAGATTGTTTTATTCTATCCATCTTGGAATACATTTCTCCACCATTCAACTCAGCATAGTAAATCACCTCTGTTTAGCTGTTTGTTCGGGTGATCGTAGGTCAATAGGCTAAAATCAAAAGTCTCACAAAAAGTCATATAACTCTGGAACGGAACAAACTAGAAATGTTGGTTTTACATCTATAGAAAGGGAAGAATTTTTTCTATCGGATAACTAAATCAAAATTTGCTCGTATACTAACGACGTCTATGACGTGATGGAGGTAGAGAGGAAATTGCTAAGGTGTCTGTAGGAAGTACAAATTTCTGTCTTCGTACTTGACAAAATATGATAAATATAATTTTCTTACGAGGACTTGTATCTGGATTAGCAACAATAAAACCATATTTTGATGCTAAACGTTGAATACCAGATTTTATTATAAAATCTTGTTCAGTACACATTAAACCTAATAAAAAAAAAAGAAGAAATTTTTATCTTTGATTAAATAATAAAAATTTAACAAACCAGAAAGAAATATTAATAAAGGTACACACTCTTTATCAGCTACTAATGGAACATAGATACCAAATTTCATTTTACAATCAACTGTTAAACTAAAAATTCAATGAGATTTTATAATTAATAAAATTTTTTTGTTAATACCTATCATGACTATAAATATATTGATAACCATCAAAAGATTTTGAACTTAATTCAAGTATCAATTCTGATGATGATGATGATGACATTTTAACAAAATAAATATCAATAAATTTTCGTTTAATTATTAGTTTGATTGTATTTTTATTTTATAATCTACTGATTGAAGATGAAAGAAATCATATTAAAATTTCAATGGTAAAAATAATCAACAATATACAGTACCAATTGATGGACAAATTGACATTGGTTTTTTTTTGTCAAATATACTATTTTTAACAGTATCATTTCGGAAACTTTTCAGATTTTTTTTTAAATTAGCTCTATAAACTCTTCGAAGTATCATCTGTCTACTAAGCATATTTTAAATAATAATTTATGACTATAAAAGTCGAAAAGATGGAACATTTTTGCTCAAAAAAACCATCAAAATTTACACATTAGTTCGTTGTTTGCGGAAACTGAGTAAGCTGAGAATCACCCCTCGTTTCTCAGCTGTTGTACATCGGATCGAACTGAGATTTTTCCTACTTATACTAAAAAGTGTCTAGGACGTCTCCTTTTATTTTTTCCAAAAATAATGTACCACTGATTTTTGCCAGTTTACAAAAAGAAAACTTCTGTTAAAAGAACATGCTTGTTTTGGAAGTATATTCAATATTTTGATATTTTTCTTTGAAATAAAGGAGATAAAAGAAATCAAAAAAAACAGGTAGATACCTCAAACAGTGCTTGGTATCCGTAAAAAGTTCAGTACTATCAAATGTATTGCAATTGAGAGAGCGAGAGAGATGAATTTCAATCTTTACGATTCAGATATCTCCACATAGGAAGCATTTCTATTCATACAACAAGTTCCGAATTTTTCTAATGATCTATTCTCCGAGAGTACCGGAAAGGGGCACGATGTCATCTCAACCTTGTATAACTTTTTATTATTCTCTCATTTGGTTTAATTGAATTGAATCGTCTTAAATCTTCGATAATAAATTTCGTGATAGTTATTTTTATTCAGTTATTTGAAAAAAACAATCCACAACAACATTATATTGTCATGTATGAATTTTATTAAATTTACATCTTAAAAATAAATATATTTCATCTCTAAATTTATCATTATCATAAAAAATTTTCATATCGTTTCATCGACTAGTTATTTTTTTCCTTTATTTATTCCTTTCATGTTCTTTTAATTATAATCTTAAATAGAAAAAAAGCTTGTATAACATTATTCAACACACACACAAACACACACTTCACAATATGTGTACTTTCTTTTTTAAAAGGAAAACTGTTATGTAAATATTCATTTAACAAAATAGAAATATAATGAAGAAACAAAAAAGAAAGAAGAAAGAAGCAGAAAAATGCAACGTTTCGAAATAGATATCATGGTGTCATTTGTTTTCCTTTGCTTGAATAAGAAAAATTTTAAATAATATAAATATATAAAATATTCATTTTGATACCTGTATTTCTATTAATACAAAAATAAATATACAAGAAAGAATAAGACAGAAGATAATGATAATAATATTAAACAGAATCATCATGATACCACCATCGAGTCTTTTTAGGATCATTAGATGCTGTACGAACATACCAATCATTATCAGGTGGACGGCTCTAAAATATAAAACAAATTTATTCATATAAATTTTCTATCTCTGCAAAAATAAAAAGAGTTCTTTTGTGAAATACGATCTAAATGAAATGTTGAAGCATACGGGTAAAAATTTGGATCCTTCCAAAAATGTGACAGACGTAAGGATACGTACTTTCGATGAAATAGTGACAGTAAGTCTACTGACTAAACTAGATCGATGATCGCTATAACATTGACACACTCATATGGTTATGGATACGTCAGATAAATCAATGTAGTCAGTGTAATTTTTCAATGAACAGTCTATGAAAACTTTACATCCATAGACAGACACCTTAACAGCACTTCACCTCTCCCTTCCGCATCACAGACAGTGACAGATATTGATATACAATTACAGATTGTAGATCAATAAGGTCAATCAAATTTATCGCTTATTTTATTGACTCTTAAAAAATCAAATACTTAAATTAACTATTTCGAATATTCAATCATGAAATATATATTCTTATTTGTTAATTTTTAATACCTTATCTTTACAACTTGATAGCATTGATAAAATACTAAGACAAACAGCATTTATACTTAATGCTGGTGACCAATCATCAGTTAATATTGATAAACAAATATGACCATTGGAATAAATATGTGGATGAAGAGGAATATTAGGACCAATAAAAGTAACCTAATTAATCAAATTAAATTATATATGATAATTTAATTTGATTACTTGTGGTGAATCAAATGGATATTGATCAGAAAATTTGAATAATAATTGAAATTTTTCACCATCATATAATGTTCCTGGTGCACCTTCAATATCAATTCGAATTCTAAACATTAAAAATATAAATATAAATGATTGAATTAAATTATCAATAAAAACAAAAAAAAAACAATTGAATTTCTTAACTTACTTTCTCATATCAGGATTATCATCGACAACTCGACTAAAAATACATTATAAAAGAATCATATCATTATAATAAAAATAACATACATGCCAGGTGTAGGATTTTCTATTAGTAATTTAAGTTCTTTTGTTAGACGTTTTCGAACGAGATCAAACTAAATAATGAGAATAATATTTTTATTTAATAAACATAACATACATTACTAACCGCCATTTAAATTAAATCTCTTAAAAATATATATATTAAAACGAAAATTCTCTTTTCAACTTTCTTATTTGATTACTAATTTATCATCTAAAAACAACTATTAAATGATTATAATAGTTATTTATTTTTTAAAAAGATTCAATTAGGTGAGATTTTCTTTTTTGCTTCTACAACACACAATGAGTACAAATACAATTCTGTTCATTGCTAAGGTCATTCCAAAATAATTCTCTCCTTCGGTAATATATCAAAAACAAACAAAAACAAACAGACTTCTATCACAGTACACACAATAAATAAATACATATATTAAAAATTTGTTCATTGTTAATAAACATCTTTTTTTTTTCGTTATGGTTTTATTGACATCGATTGAAAATTTGGTGTCATATTATCAATTTCCGCTGATACCATTGATGTATTAACTAAAAATAAAAAAAATATTTATTTAATAAACGAAAAAATAAATAAATAAATAATAACAAAAAAAACTCGAATTTACATTGGGCAATTTGTGTGTCAAGACCTGCTAATGCATTTCTTCGACCATTTTGTCGAGCTGCTCGAAACATACTTCCATCATCTTCTTCAGAAAGCAAATTTAATGTATTGTTGTAATTATTTCCTGTTGTACTCATTTAAAAATTAATTACAAAAAAAAAAAAAAAAAAAAAAAAAAAGAAACAAAATTAATCATCCGATAGAACGATCTCAAACATTTATAATAGAAATAGGAAATAAATATGATGAAACTGTTCTCGAAAGACATAAAACTTATGATGATTGGTTTATAGTTTATCTCTGGTAGATGTCTCCGATAATCGAAGCAAATTTATAATACATATGTATATAAATTTGTTAAAGCATAGATTACTATGATAGAAGTATAGAAATTTATTTCGAATAAAAAATTATTTTAGAGACTAATGTATTATTATAGAAAAAAAGTAATAAATATGAATTGAAGTCTTCCAAGACTAGATAAGTCTGAGTTATAAATCTGAACTCGGAAATTGAGTAAACCAATGATCTCCATTTATATCAATGTCTTAATAAACTTGCTAGAAAAATCAAATGTATTGCTACTATATAAGCATCAGTTGAATGTGTGTGATCTTTTAATAAAATATCGTATCATTGAAATTTTTCACAAGCTAATATTTGCATTTTAATATCTTTAGCTCGCAAACTTAGATTTTTGTCTGTAAAAAAAGACTTTTTTTGTTCAACTCTCTGATGAAACTGTATGAAAGAGAAAAGTAAATTTTACTACCTTTACTCTGTTGATATTTTATTTTTGTGCATTAAAAACTAAGAACAAGGATTATCATGTCATAAAAACTTGTTGTTAAAATTCTCCAGGTCATTGAGTTCAGCATCTAGATTTTTCTAGTTTCGATCGTAATTGGAGAGAGCCGACTACTGAATTCCGAGCATTTTTCCGACTAGAAACGACTCGTATTTTTCTTCACTTGAGTGTTAATAAAAATAAGCAGAAAACGAAACGATGACAAAAAATAATGTGACTTGACTCGCTTAATCCTAGTTAGAGTAGCATTAACACTACTAATATTGTGAAACACAATCTACAAGAAGTATTGAAATACAGACCTCCCCTCTCTCATACACACATGACAATCATAACTGCTAGATCAAAATCCAGTGCAAGATTAATACGATAGTTGTTCTTTACTTTTCTTTGACACTCGCTGCAATATGTTGTGATTAATATCGTTCATCATCGACATGCATTAATAGTATGAAGGAATTCATAAACTAAAACATATATGATTAATCTCTTCTTTTATATTACTAGCAGCTCCATTGTGTTTCACATTTTAATCCCGTAGGGATTGTGCATACAGCTTTTTTTTTTGTTAGAAAGAATTTCTAATTAAATAGAATAGTATTAATGATCTTCCATATTAATGAACTAGAAATTCATGAATATCTTGCAAAATAATATCACTAATTGTATGTTGTATATATGTAATCAATCAACTTTTCATTTAATTTCACGCAGTTATTTAAGATTTGGACTAAAATATGACGCGGATAAATATTCAAAGAGTTTCATATGTTTGTCATTACATAAATCTAAACAGTATACAATATGCTGTTTGTGTAAGATCATTTTAAGGCTTCGAAGCACTTGCAAAATTTCGTTCGTAAGAATCTCATATAAAGTTTTATCGAGAATATTCTAAAGAAATTTTTCTACAAATAATTAGATTCTAATTGAATTGATATTGTTTAACATAAACTGACCTTAAATCGCTTACAGTGATTGGGATTTAATATTTTCATTAGAGAGCTGCCAATCCATGCTTTTTTCGGATTCAACTCCAAGAAAAACTAAACATTTGGACCGAGACATCGACAGATTTAGACCTGAATTCTTTTTCACTAATATCTGGCAAATACATGACTATGTAAAGAGATCAAAGTTACTGCTATTTATATTAGCTACTTATAGATAAAAAAAAGTCATTTCAAATACATAGAACAAAGTGAAATTGAACGAAGAAGAAAGGCACGAGTACAAAATTATATTTGATGCTTATCGTAGAGTGGTGAACGTCTTTTGAGAATTTGGATTATTTTCTTCGTGTTTTTTGACAGAGAGAAACGTCTTTTTTAGTTGAATGGTTACGACGTTCACTTAGATGGAAGGTATGTGGTCGAATCTAGTGAGATGATGTTTAGTTTTCTCTGTTCTGATATCAGTATGATGATGTCGCTATTTGTTTGAACTATATGACAGTAATGAAGAGCGATTGATATTCAAAACTATATGATTGAATATCCAATGAGTTCTTTCCACTTCTCTGAAGTGTGCTATTAGTCCTTGCATACATAAAATGATGATTGATTTTATATGAAAATGAGGGCAATCAAACATATAGACACAACACTTTTTTTTTCGCCTCTTTGTTAAATATCATATAGAGCTAGACGAAATTTTCGTTTATTGATGTTCATCAAGTTTTTTTTGTATGCAATCTTTCATTTGTTGAAGCTGAAGATCTATCATAAATGATTTATCTTTGCTAAAGAAATCATCAGATAGTGTAGTAATAATCAACCTTCGAAATATTCTTTATCTTTTAGTATTTTCTATATGAAAGTGACAAAAAAAAAATTTGGCAAAGGGATATAGACACTAACTGTATTTTTAACCAATCAAATAGTTTGAAATAAAATTTATCTCTCTATCTCTTTCTTACTTATATTGATAATTAGATATCTATATACAGTAAAATCTTTCTTAATGGAACACTCTCGAGGCCTTTGAAAAGTAAGAAATGTCATATATTTTACTAAAGATGTGTTCAGAATAATGAATTTCCACAATTCCAAATCGAACAAAATATCCATAGAGTGTTCTTTCATCCATAACATCTATATAACATTAGTCCGAGCGTTCCGTGACTGAGATAAAGCTCATTTCTCTCGATATGGAAGCATTTTTATTGACGACTAACTTTGTATTTAGGATTAACATCGAAAACTACATTGAATGATTTATAATTTACTAGTATTCAAATAAAAATATACAGAGCAAGAGTTTCTTACAATGATTTTTCAGATTGTATTGATGTTTGAAAGATAATAAAACTATATTGAACAAAAAAAAATAATGTCTCCCTAAGTCAAGGGGAGAAAAAAAGCACACTTCTATACTTCTGAAGTACGAAGAAGTATCAGAAGTCTGCTTTTTCCTCATCGTCTTGAGTTTAAAAAATCACATATCCAACTGATCTATGGGAAAATGCCAACTACGTGTGTATTCATCGGAGAGTACCTTCCCTTGTTCCCAGAGTTTCTGAAGGACAGCTAATCAGAAAAAACTGAAATTGTCAGGATAGATCAATCTTGACGAGCAGAGCAAAAATTGTCAGAGACTCAAAGTTCTCAGATGCTGTCTTCTACAAGATACTTGGATGACAATGGCTACAAATGCCCCTTGTTTCTTCTAGATACTATGTTCGATCGAATTGAAAATTTTTTCTACAGACATTAGACACTGTTTGGGAGTAGGTAACTTTCTCATCCTTCAAATAGAAAAAGACAAAATATGGAAGATGCTCTAAAAAAAACACATGTCTTTTTCTTGCAAGAGCTCCCAAAAACTGAGCAGAATAAGATTTTTTGAAACAAATACTCATTTTAAATAGTATAGAGTACATGAAAAAAGTTTAAGTTCTCTTGGCGAAATACAGGTGTTTCTGAACGTTTTTTTTTTACGAACAGTTCATTTCAGAAAATCGTAGTTCATTGTTTCCGTTAGGTAAATTTGATTTCATCTCGAAATTTTTCATGTTTAAAAACCAATTTTAAATCGTTCAACTTCTTACAGATGTCGCTAGTATACACAATACTGTATTTTTTTTACATTTATTTTATTAGAAATTTTGAAAGAAGAATCGATTATAGTTTGATTTTTATTAAAATTATTTGAAATAATTTTGTATTATTTTCTTATTAATTTTTATTGGATGAATCATATACCTGTCAACATAAATGGCTACGATAGTTTACAATTGTCTTGTTTTCTCGATAGTTGAACTCTCTCATAGTTGATTTGTTCAATTAAATACTTATTCAATTGTAGATTATCAATATATAAACAAATATATCAATCGAATGAAACCACGTTATAATCTTCGTATTCAACCAACTAAAATTCTTATTTCAACAACTAATAAAACAATTCCTTCTATATCATCTTCTCGAATGTTCGTATATAGACAATTTAATAAATAATAAATCATCTTTTCTTTTTTATTATTATTTTAGTATAAAAAAACCTAAACTACATAAAACCATTGGATTAAAAAAGAAACAAAATCGACGTCATAGTCTTCGTTTAACATCAAATACAAAACCAATCAAATCTCGATCAATTATTCATGAAACTCGTATGAATAAATTATATAAATAGGAATATATATATATGTTTTTTTTTGTCTAGCACTAAAATTACCTACAATTGAAAATGATAATATAGAAGAGAATTCATTAAATAATGATGAAAATGATAATTATGATGAACTTCTAGCACGTCATCATCGACATATGCTTGAAGAACAAAAAGATCGAAAGTAAAATAAATATCAAATAAATTTCAAATGAACTATTGTTTTTTTGCTTAGACTTTATGAACGATATGTTCGTGGTCAACGAACACTTCGTCGTTTACAATGTCGTCGTACTCATACAGCTCATTTGAATGAAGCAACACGTAGCCGTTTATTACGTGAATTAGAACGTGAACGTCGTTATACTGTTCAAGAACAGATTTGTACTTATCGTAAGTTAAATATTTATTCTTATTAATATATACATTTTTTTTTGTTTTAGTTGCTGATCATTCAATTATATTTCAACATGGATGTCATTTAAATTCTAATGAACCAATAAATTGGACAACACTTGAAAATGAAATACCTCGTCAGAAACATTTTGATACTGTACATCAATTAGACGTTATGATTAATAATTTAAAAAAAGTTATTCGAACTTCGAAATCTTCTATGTAAGATTTTCTTTTTTTTTTTATGTTAATAAAAATAATACATTTTTTTTTTTTATTAGATCAAAACCACGTTTATCTGTTCATGAAAGACAAAAACAACGTTTAGTTGCTGCTGCAACAACAACTCCAGTTATTCTCAATAATTTTAATGAAATACAATCAAATGAAATTAATTCAACAATTTCATCGTAAGTCAAAAGAGAAATTTTTAAATTTCATGTTTTTTTTTTATTTTTGTTTAAAAGAATGAATACAATATCACAACCAACTACAATATCTCGTTTACCATGTGTAAGATTTGTTGATGATCTATTACGAACAACTAATTCACAACATTTAACATGTATTCAAAATGTTTTATTACAAAAAAATAATAATAATAATCAAAGTCGAATGTAAGAAAATCTATACTAATTAGTTTTTTTTTTTAATTTTAATTATATTTATTTCTAGTGGAACAAATGAAATCTCAACACCTATTGCAATAAGAAAACAATTTCTTCGTCCAAAATCTACACATATGAAGTATGTATCAAACTAAAACAAAAATAAATAAACTTTGATTTGTTTTTTTTATTTTATAGTTTATCTGATTCATCACAAATAAAAAAACGACCATTGGAGAAAGAAAATTGTAGTCTTGTGACATCTACAACCAATAATCATTTACATTCAAATGTTGTTATAAGAGCGACATCACCGTAAGTAGTCGTCGACATCGTTTCTTAATATTCTATCATTTGTATTACTTATATAGAATGGTATCTATTAAACCTTCAACATCATATCGTTCATATCCGAATACACGAAAACATCCAATAATAACAAATCGTCGACAAACAAGACTTTCGTAGGTTACTTTTTTTTTTTAAATAAAAAATTATCGCTTTCATTGCGAAACTAAAATATGAGAATTATTTACGTTCATTTTTATATATTTTTCTCAGCAAGTAGATCTCGTCATGTCCGGTTTATTAAACTTTTTTCGGAATTCGATCATTCTCGTTTTCAATCTGAGTCTGATAATCGTGCCGAATATGCAGGCAATTGCTAACTCAGTCAATCTTGATCATAATTGGCTGTTGCTTTAAAATGTGATCCGGTGGATTCTATAAGGAAGTTAATTCCTAGAATCTTTCTGAAATTTATTGATTATATTAAGACTGTACTAAACTTAACTTATTCTAATCCTAGTCGAATCTCCCCAACGAAATCACCGGAGAGTCCCCTGAAAAATCCCTGTCGTGAATTCCTCTAAAATTTTCATAAATTTGAATTTTTCAGAGAATTCTAATGGTGGCTTCTGGAGAGACCTTGATAATACTCATCAATTCCCTGAATCTCCTCTTAACTTCCCCGGGATTCTCGACTACGGAAGGGTAGATTTAAGTCTAGGTCCGACTCTAAAGGTAACAACTATTTATCACTTGGTTAGTCGTCAAGATTGTCAGACAAATATGTAGAGCGTGTTGATAGCAAGAAATTAGGAATCCAGATGTAAAAATTTTGCACCCAATAGGCTCTATATTCTGAGAAAATAGTTATCATGTTGCTTCGCTTAATTCATTAGACTAATGCTCCATTTAAAAAAAAAGAAGGTGGTTGAGTATTTTTTTTCAACGGATTGACCTAGAGAGTTGCGGTTTTCACTATTGGAAAGAGAAGATGAAGATGCGTCGAACCATATATGAAAAAATTTTTCTAAGAGTTACATAAAGCTTCTAAAAACACAGCATATCTCTCATGATTGCGATATTAATTTTCAGGAGTGTGCTAGAATTGCCAAATGAAGAGCTATAAAACTACTATCCGTTTCAAAAAATAGTATGCTTCACTGTTTTTCGAATAACTCCGGAACGCAATCAGCTAGAGACTTGTGGTTTTCGCTAATTGAAAGAGGAGATGAGGGGACATCTTTTTCACTAATATCGTATACGGCAAGAGTACTGCTAACTGTATCGTTTCTACAAAATATGCAAAAAACTAATGTGTTGTTCCTATGAAATTTTGGTTTTGAGACCTAATTTTGATAGAACGACTTCAAATCTATAGTTCAAGATATAATCCTGATCATTATCTTTTGCATCCAGTTATTGAGCAAATAAAGAAATCTGTTTACCCACTCGAAAAATATGTCGTTTTCTTAATTTTTAAGCAAATTTCCTTACTTTTGGTTAAAACTTCATTGAAACGATACAGTTAGCAGTACTCTTGCCTTACACGATATTAGTGAAAAAGACGCCCCCTCATCTCCTCTTTCGATTAGCGAAAACCACAAGTCTCTAGCTGATTGTGTTCCGAAGTTATTCGAAAAATAGTGAAGCACACTATTTTTTGAAACGGATAGTATGTAAAGACTCTACTACCAATAAGATATTCTAGCCATTGGAATGTAATTTACCATCCCATTTTTTTCAACAAAACAATCGTGTAGTGTTTTGAAAACATTTGACTAAAACTCTTAGAAAAATCTTTTCATATATGGTATCTCCTCTTTCCAATGGAGAAAATCATAACTCTCTAGGTCAATCCATTAAACAAAAAAAAATACATACCGGCCTTCTTTTTTGAAATAGGTATTAGTTTTCTGACTAGTAATCGTTTATTAATGAATAAATTCTTCAATAAAAATATTTATATAATTTTTATTTTGTTTTAGTATGAATGTCTAAGCATGCGATTGTCGCTTCTCTTATTGGTTCTTTTAATGTAAATAGACAATAGTCATATGTCTTTTATTTGTCCGTTTTGTTTTCTTTTTTTTATCGTATAACGAACCTTATTAGTTTTATTCTTCATCTCTGTTGTTTGCTCATGGTTTGTTTTTCCTTGGCGTTTTTTTGTCTTCTTCTCAATTACATTATACACACAATGTTTTCTTTGTGTTGTTTTTTTCTTTTTCATTTCGTCGAATTTTACTATTGTCGATGTTCATTTTGTTTGTTCGAACAAAAAAAAAAGAAAGAAATAAAGAAAGAATTTGTTTGTTTTTTTTTCGAAACAAAGGAAAAAAACAAATAACAAAGAATTATGATATATAAGAAAATTCTATTTTATTTTCTATTTTTTGTTACTTGTCGTGGAATTAATGAATTAATCTGCAATGATATAATAAGTATTCAAAAAAAAAAAATGAAAGATTTAATCGTTTTCGTTCCTTACTTTGGTAGCTGAAATGACTTGTGGACGTGGTGGAATAGGACGACCACGTTTATTACCAAATTGAAATGAAAAAGAAATTTTTTCAGGTGATCTAATTGTTGTTGGTTGAGCTATTTTTCGAAGAATATGATCAAGATCATTTGAAGGAATTTCTTCTTCAATAGATCGTTTTCTTTTTAATGTTGGAGGTGATTTAATAAGAAGCCATTCATTTTGTGCATCGATTTCTAAACGAAAACTAAAAAAGAACAAATCTATTTATATAAATAATTAAATTTTTACTCAATTTCATCATTATCACGAAGTATTAAATTTGCTTGAGCATTTGGTGGTAAAATACAATCATTAATAAATGCTTTAAGATATTTTAATTTTGTTGAACGTTTTGATAAATGAAATTGATAATAATTAGCAAGAGATTTTTGTTGTTGATTAAAATATTCAATTAAATCATTTATTGTTTTTATATTTGTTGTACAATCAATAATTGTCCAAAATTGATTATGATCAATTGGTAACCATGATGCATGAAAACGTAATCGAAGCATTCTTATAAAATTTTATCTTAAATTCATTTTGTCGATTCATTTATTTCTTCTATTTCTATCATTTAACCAGTCATTATTCGATATTTAATAGATGTCGCATTCGTTCATATCAAACTAAAATAAAGATTATTGTCTAAAATTAAAATGTAAAATTTATTGTTACGAATAACAATAGATCACTAAGTCCAGAAATGCTGTTTCGGAGGATGTGAGTGTGCCTTGAAAACTAAATTAGTGCATTTTCCAGATTTAGACTCACGAGGGAACATATTTAGGTGTTCAAGCCGTTTAGGTTTCATCTTTCGGCTATAAATAGGCCACCATGAGGTATGAAAAATCTGAAGAAGATTCATTCCCTCGCGTCTTTGTTCCTGAGATATACCTATTTTACTGAGTGTTCGATCAAAGACACGGCATTTCAGAAAAAATCAGATGAATGAATTTTGACCTGAAATTTCGCCTATAAATAGATCTAATGAGTTGTAGAATATTCCTAACGTTTCAGTAAAAATGGATGCTTCAATAGGGAGCTACTAGAATTTCAATCTTAAGTCGAAATTGTTTAAAAACAGAATATCTCGCCTAGGAAGCATCCATTTGTACTGAAACGTTAGGAATATTCTACAATT